CATATATTTGGCTACTCAAATAGAGTAATGACTTGATCAGGAAATCTTTTAGAACTTTCATGGATTCTCCAAGGCAGCAGCCTCAAAGACTCCTCACATTGTTGCTTCCCAAAGAGGCACCATCACTCCTGTGGTCCCACATAGACCCTAGTGTATCAGCTTTACATCCTTGAGGAAGAAGCAGAAGGGAAGAAACTATTCCTTGTCAATCAATGCCATGACTCTGGAGTTAGTTACACCACCCTTATCTTCTTCCCACAGGGTGCAATCCAGAATCAATGATGCCTAAGAAGTGTTAGAACTTTTCTGCGATTTAAAATTTAGAAAATTATTGTATTACAAAAGAGGAGAATAAATATGAAGGTGATCGTAGAAGTCTCTCAGGCTTCTCTTTAAAATTTATTTTATTATTATTATTTATTGATGACAGTGTGTACAGTGTGTACAGTAACTCACTGCATAGATTGGACTCATAGGGATCTTCTTGTTTACAGCTTCCCAAGTGCTAGGATTATAGGCACCCACGCCCAGTCCCAATGGCCCTCAGCATGCCCCGGGGACAGGGCCGACCTCGCAAGCCAGGGGGCTGAACTCCAGGCCCCTGTGTTTCAGGCTTCTAACTTCATCTCAGACTTAGTTTGAGATAATGTGTTCTGGGAGATCCTCATAAATTAAAAATTGACCTGTAGAGAACAGTTGAAAACACTTTTACAAGGCTCCCCTCACTGGCATAGTGCATGCTATTAGGATATGTTCTCAGAAAAATTCAAATATCTATTGAAACATCAGTTTCTTTGTTACTTTTCTCTTGTTGCTGGAATAAAATACCAAACACCCAGAATTAAGGAATCAAAACTTTCTTTGTTGGTTTTTGAATAGAAAATAGTAAAATTGTTGCCTTATTAATCATACAAAATTTCACCAAACAAAGTAATAGAACTTCAACAATGATTGCTCTACTGCATGATATTATCCTCAAATCAGTTGTTTAGTTTACCAAATATAAACTTGTAAAATCGGTTTAAAAGAAATGAAATGAAACAAAATCATCAATAATATGTTGCAAGAAATTAAAAGAAAGAATAAAAAGAAGAAAAAAAAAAAAAACGCATCAACTGCTCTGTTGAAAAGACCAGAAGTTAGCATACAATGATCCAAATTATCCTGCATGAGTACCTAAATATATCTTTTTTCCCTTCTTTCTTTTGTCCTTTTCCTCATCCCAGGTTTACTTCCCATAGAACAAATTCATTCACTTTCACAGTACATCTTGTACCTTTTATTTATTTTTGCATGTTCTCACACTAGTGAGACAAAGCAATGTTTGCAAATCAAGGTCTGATTTATTTCACTTACCAATACAGTCTCTAGTTTCATCCATTTATCTGCAAAATCTTCAAATTTACCCTTTTTTATAGCTAAGTAATGGTCCATTGTGTAAAAATACTGCGTCATTTTTACCATTCCTCACCTGATGTGCATTAGTGTTGTTTCTAAGATTTAGCTATGAAAAATTGCACTGCTATACACATGAGTGCACATATAACAGTGTGGTATGATGATTTAAGTTCTTTTGGAAAAATGTCGAGGAGAGGAACAACTGTCTGGAAGGCAGAATGGCACAAGGCAGATGATAGAAGTTCATGGCAAAAGAAAATAACAAAAACAGAGCCAAAAGGGAAGAATAGTGGTAGAGAGAAAGCCTCTCTCTGTTCCTTATATTGCATTCAGTCTATCCATCCCAGGGTGGGTGTAGCACCCACCCACACATAATCCCAGCATTGGATCATGAGTTAATCACACCCTCCAGAAATCTTCCCCATGACTGCATAAGGTTTGTGGGTGGGACAAACTAGACATATACCATAGCACTCAGCTTCTTCCCATGTTAAGTGAGTGCACCACACCAGATTACTTTTAAGGAGTACATGTTAAATCTCAGGGTACAAAAATAAAAACATCTAGAAATAATCTTTTATGGAGCTTCAAGTGTGATGAGGTAAACATCACATCCTAGAAACAGGCGTTCAAACTAATAGATGCCTTACTGGGGATGATAGAACTTCTATTTACTCTCATTTCTACTTGAACTGCAGGAGCTTGTTTTTCTCAGGGAATGCATGGGGGATGCATTCAATTTGGATGTCTCCTTTCAGGTCAGAGAAACATGCATTATTTTTCAAATTGTTTATGTCTGGCTCAGCTGTATATTCACAATTTTAAGGCTATAACTGCCTTTTGGGACAAGTCAGGGTCCTTGGATTTTACAATTTTTTGATATTTGAATTCTATACTATTGTTCCTCATGCTCTGTTTATCTTCTCTTTTTCTTGATTTATAGAATTCACCTATGCTACATTTAATTTTCATCTAAAATTTTATTGTTGTCTTTATCTTGACATTACTTCTCTACTTTTGTTTCATCTCCTGATACCTGACAAACAGCAGTAGTGGGTCCAAAGGCACCATCAAAGTGTGGCCCCTAGGGCAGATGCACTGCATCCAAATCCACGTGGTGAGACTAAGTACAAATTCCTTTTTTTGTGCCGAATTCCATTATCTCCAAAACAGAAAAAATACTAATTTTTCCTTTCTACAGATTTGAGATGATTAGAAAACAATGCCCTAAGGTGCACCAATTAGCTCAGCATATTAAAGTGCCTGCTTAGGCAGACAGAGACAGAGGTTTGATCCCCAATCCTGCTATGCTGACCTGCCCCTAGATCCCACTGAGACAGCAATTGAGACTGGGTGTGGTGGTGCACACCTGCCATCCCAGCATTTGGGAGGCTGTAAACAGGAGAATCACTATGAGTCCAATCTAATAATGAGACCCTGAACACCTTGTAGACCCTTCCCTAAGTACAGGCAAAACAAAACAAACAAACAAGCAAAAACAAAAACAACCCCCCCCAAAAAAAATCTAACACAATACCTAATGTGCTCTCAGCTACTATTTACTCATGAAACTGCAGGCTGGTACTGTATTTGTAATAGGTGTGTTCATAAACATACCTCTTCATATTACAAACCCTGCCTGTCTCTGCTTTCTCCTGACTCCTTTTCTGCAAAAGCCTTCACCAAAGGAACTATACCAAGAACATCTAAGAGACAATGAACTGGATAGAGTAGATTCCATTGTACACTCCACAGTTTCCCATGGCCATTGCCATATTTCCAATACTTCTTTTGCTCGACACTCAGATGCCAGTATAATTCATTACTTGACACCATTGGATATCACTCTAAGTCACCAATTCCTCTTCTAACATGTGGAATAATTTAAGCCTCCTCTGTGACTTGAGATGCTTCTAATTCCTAGGTAAATCCATGCTTAGTCCTCACTTTAAAGCACTTAGTGGTCAACTTTAGATATTTGGGCAAACACAAGCAATTCTTATAACCACAGCTATGTGCACAAGAACTATTATAAGTGAAATCTTCTTAACATGATATATACGTTTTATATTATTTTTCCCATTTAACCTGAATCATCTGCAACTGTAAGGATTCTCATGATTTCTTTCACTTCCTAAAGAAATATTCAGTTCAAAATGTGACATAACATTGTGCCCTGGGAATATAAATGTACCCTCATTTTCAAGGCTGACATGGATTGTGATTTCTAGCTCTCTGGGCCCAACCATCCACAAACGCTTCCAGACAGAGATTATATTCACTTAACATCTCCAAAGAAAGGTTTTCTGTTTTTCTCCATGAAGGAAACCTTAGGGATGATGCTGCAACTTCTTCTATATCCTTATGTATTCCTTCAATTGAGAAAAAATTTTCTGGTCCAGGGTAGAATAGTGCTGGGTCATAGCCCCAGCATATAGAGTTGTTTTTCAGTTCCTTGGTACTTTAGAAAACTCATTTTTGGAAGAGAAAGATTAGTGTTTAGAGTCAATAAAGACCATATTCATATATACCACAAGTTAATCCAGGACCACCAAACTTAAGTTATTACTTAAACATTATTACCCTTCTGTTTTTACAATATGTACAATAATTTTCATATAACAGGGTGGTCTTGAGAATAAGTTACCATACTTCATGCTCTCAAAATTGTTTGTATTTTCAGGTACTCCAGTGAGGTGTTTATGACTGTGACAACACAAACAACAAATGGGTTAGTAGAGGAAACAATGGATAAAAATGACATGTACAACATATACTCATTTGTAAGTTGTAATGAGACTTGGATCCCAGATCTGCTGATTGTTATCATTGCCCTAGTGGGCCTGGCAGGAAATGGAGTGGTCATCAGTCTCCTGGGATGCTGCATGCACAGGAACGCCATCTCAGTCTACATCCTCAACTTGGCTTCATCTGACTTCCTCCTCCTCTGCTGCCAGCTTATTAACTCCCTGTTTATCATTTGCTATAACAGAACTTATTTTATCATTATGTCCATAGTCCTTATTCCATACATTACAGGTCTGAGCATCCTCAGTGCCATTAGCATAGAGCGCTGCCTCTGTGTCCTATGGCCCATCTGGTACCGCTGCCACCGTCCAAGACAAATGTCAGCTGCCATGTGTGCCCTGCTTTGGACCCTGTCCCTGTTGTTTAGCGTCCTAGAATATTACTACTCTGCTTTCTTTCATGGTGTTGATAAGTTGAGACTGGTTGATTTCATTGTAGTTGCATGGCTCTTTCTTTTATTACTAACTCTATCTGTGTCCAGCCTAACCATTTTGGTCAGGATCCTTTATGGTTCCAGACGAATGCCTCTCTCTAGGCTCTATGTGACCATTCTCCTCACAGTCCTGGTCTTCCTCATCTGTGGCCTGCCCTTTGGAATTTACTGGTTCCTACTATACTGGTTTCCAATTGGTCTTAATGACTTCCTTTGTGGTCATCTTCTGTCAGTCACAATTGTCCTGTCCTGTATTAACAGTTGTGCTAACCCCATCATTTATTTCTTAATTGGCTCCTTTAAGCAGCAGCACAAGAGTCTCAAGCTGGCCCTTCAGAGGGCGCTGCAGGATTCTTCTTAGGAGAATGAAGGTGGAGACAGAAGTATTCAGGAAATCCTGGAAAGTTGGAAAGTGGAGTGTCTTAGGGATGAAGAGCCTCACCTCTCATTAGATATGTGCGGTTTTAAGAGACAATGTTGCTTAGCCTCCTAGAATGTTACTACCCTATTCTGTACATTATTCCATTAGATTCATGCCTTGAAAATGCTGAAGTGTTTCTTGATGTCTTCGATTGCAGTGTTTTACTTGGATTTTCTTATGTACTTTTTCATGTTTCCTAGAGAAAGTGCAAATGCAACCTCTTTGACCTTATGAATGAATTCCTCAGATATCCTCTGAATGTTTTTAAGCGTGTTTTTTAAAAGAGAATAAAAAGTAGTTAAAAACCCTAGAAAATGTACAGAATTTCACCTTACATTATAATAGAAATTCAACAATTGTCGTTATATTGCTGAATGCTATCTTCAAATAAATGGCTTAGATTAGCAGCTGCAAGCATGTAAATTTTATTTTTAAAAAGCTATATGATATTAAAGTGGAGAGAAAATTTAAGCATTAATATCTACTCTCAATAGAGCAACATATAACAGCAGTATAGTTATCCAAGCTATCCTATATATATATATAGGATAAATATATACCTAAATATATATTTATCTTCTTTCTTTCTTTCTTTCTTTAACTCTAACATGAACCTATTGAATGCTCCTCTTACAAATTCTTTTTACAATGGAAATGATATTTATTTAAAACTGTGTCCTGAAATTGATAAGGATTTTCTATAGGAAGATATTACAAAAGAATAAACTTTGCTTGAAGTATATTGCAGAAAGAATCATATGGTTTTCTGTGATGGGGCCATAGTACAAGTAAAATCTCAATTTTCAATGATTGCATTCTTTGTCTGAGTTTAGGGGAAGACAGACTTGGAAATTCAGGAAACTGGATTTATTAAAATTTTTCTAGTGACACTTGTTCATTGACTTTTGGCTTTGGCAATTAACATAAAGAACTTTATCAATGAGATCTGGTATTGTGTTGGAAAATTGAAAAAGTTTAAAATTTAAAAATCAGCTATTAGTCTGACACCATATGATGACAAAATGAGGTCATGCAGCCCTCCTTGATGCTCCTCTGTTAGACTCACTCAGCCCTGACTACACCAGAGGTAACATCACCAGGCTCAGCCTAACTGCACCCAGCTGCACAGCTTGCACTTTCCAGCCTCCATCACACACTGTTTCATAACTTATTTCAAAAACTTTCTGCCCAGTAACCCAGAAAAACTGATGTTATCCAATAAAAATTTATCATGCTTTTAAGCTTTTGTATTTCCTGCTTGCAATACCTACATAAACTGAGCCCAAAGTTGTCTCTGGGCTGATGCTTTGGGAATGATCCCTTATCAGCCACCTTCATAATAAAGTTGGTTGCCCACCAACTCTGTGGTGCAGAGCATTTTTCATGTGTTTCAGTACCAGTTGTTATCATTGTGTGGATTGATTAGATATTCTCTGCCCTAGTGTAAGTCTAGAGATAGGTCCAATTTATTTAAATCCTGGTATGTGTGTGGTTGGAAAATATGGAACTGCTAGATCAGAGAGTATACTACACATGTGGTCAGAGAATCAGGAGTCCCGTGCTGATCCCACTAGCAAGCTGGGACACATGCACACCCCAAGCAACACAGGCAGATATTGGGTTATTAGATTGACAAATTTTTCATTATGAGTCATCTGGAATCTGCTTTTTGAATGAGATGGAAGGATTTGACTTCATATAATAGGGACTGAAGGCAACTGGTATTACAAGGTTAGTAGCCTCAGAAGTTCATGGCTGTGTCCCATGACTTAATGTTCAGGACTTATCTGAATTTAGGAAAGTCAACTATGATAAGATGATTTGGC